CTGTTCAGCCTGGAGAAGAGGAGACTGAGGGGAGACCTCACTGCAGTTACAACTTCCTTGTGAGGGGAAGAGGAGGGGCAGGCACTGATCTGTTCTTCTCTGTGGTGACCAGTGACAGGACCCAAGGGAATGGCCTGAAGTTGTGTCAGGGGAGGTTTAGGTTGGATATCAGAAAGAGGAATGCTGGGCACTGGAACAGGCTCCCCAAGGAAGTGGTCACAGCATCAAGTCTGGCAGAGTTCAAGAAATATTTGGATGATACTCCTGGGCACAGTGTGACTCTTGGGGGTGATCCAGTGCTGGACTTGATGATCCTTGAGGGTCCCTTCCAACTCAGCATATTCTGTGATTCTGTGTGATTCTGCGATTCTGTAATATAGGTTATATGAAATGAGATAAAGAGGAGAAATATAATTGAGTTTTCTTTTTATCTATAACACTTAGGTTACAGAGGAGTGTCAGACCACTTGTGCGTAATACAGTTCTTCTTAAATCCTTACCATTTAAAGACTTTAGTATCTCCTTCAGAAATTCCTAAAACATATTTTTGGCAAATTACTTCATGGTTTTACTGCACTAGATTTTGGCATCTGGACTCCTGCTACAAAGAGGTCACTAAAAGTCATTAAGTTGTTTACAAATTAAATCAGTTCTTCCATGCTAAAAATTATTATGTCTTCAGGTCTGTGATCTCAATCTTTCAGGGAACTGAAAGTGTTAATCACATTGAAAAAAAAAGTTCTCTCTTTCCTGTGGGAGAGAACACTATAATATCCTGGACTTTAACAATTACCCTTGACATAAAAATGCTTGTATTTAACAGCCCTTGAGAGAATCCTACCCCCTTCACAGGACCTGCAAAGCAGCAATTAGTATCTGCGAGAATTTCACATGGCATAGAAAAGAAATTATCGTGTCTGTTGTAATTTTTAATGGCAGTTCCTATTTCAGTGTTGTGGAGACACCCCCAAAGCAGAGACCAAATGGAGAGGACAGCAAAGGGACAAGATAAAATAATCTGTCACATGGCTATATGGTTTATGGCATTTAAATATTTTTTTCTCATACTCCTATCACCCACACATACAGTCAACAGAGAAAGGAACAAGTATCTGCAGTGGAAATTATGCTACTGAATTTCCAAGGACAGATGTAGGGCATTGACATGAGAAAAAAAGGGTCAAATAGCATTTTTAGTTCACAAATTGAATCATAAAATGCAAGATGATTAACATACCTGCGAAAAAGGACATATAGGCAAAGCAGCATGAATGATGACTTCATGGAATTTGTTTTGAATAATATTAGGGTTAACTCTAGTTCAGAGAAATAAACATAATCTCAGTGTACTTAGAGTAATAACTGCAAATGATGCTCTTAAAGAGCTGCCATAACAGACTCAGAAGCCGCCTCAGCATTTAGAGCCAACAAAGCATGGATAAGGCTAAGCAGGAGTAATGCTACCAAGAGCAAACTGACCTAGTCTCATCCCAACGCTTATCACGAATAACTTGATGTCTGCTAGGGGCTCACTGGGGGAAGAACCACAAATCCCAGCAGAAGCTAATGTGTGTCTGAGAAAGTATGTCACATGTGTGCTGGTAACCAGCCTTGGTGTGCCAGTAGAGGCCTTGGACATCCAATCAGCTAAGAGAAACTGATGAGCCAAAAAAGAATTTCAGGAAAAAGGACAGGAAAATATATGTGTGATACCAAGTACTAATAACTTGTTTCACACTTTTTTCCAGAACGCAGAGCTTGATGTTTATTTTCTTACATCACTTCTAAAAAGTGAAGAAAGCATGAGAGCAGTAGAGGTGTTCAGGGAGCAGCTCACCCATCTCTATCAAATTATGCAGGTCAGTGGTTGGTCCACATTAAATATTGATAGAATAAATAATGTCTTTCAACAAAGACTTGGGTTACGTTAGCACTTGCTGAACTCATGGCAGACTTACACAATTCCTCATCTGGGTATAACCACGGCAGAAAACGAAAGTAGGTAATAAGTTGATATGAAAAGCACATGTTTATATTATTTAATACAGGACAGATAATTGCCTTTGGTGGTCATGAAGTCTAATGTGGTTATTAAAGAGTAAAGTATGTTTCATAGCATCTACTTTATCAGTGATAAAGTATGATTTGATTAGATGGACTCAAGGGCAAGTAAATCTTCTGTCAGACTTGGAGACAAGCAACATAAAAGCCTCTCAGGCCCTGGCACAGCCAGTATTCAAATGATATTCAAATGGGTGACTAGAAATTGTCCTATTAAAGCTTTCTAATATATGGTTTCAAGTTTATCCTCTGGTTCACAATCACCGATTACTGCAGAAAGGCAACAAAAGACAGCAGTATATATGTAAAAATTGAAAGCCCAGGCTAAGTATATTAGGTCAAAACCTGCAGTCATTAGTCTTCTTCCCCTCCTCCCCCCATGCATATTTAGATAACTGACTTGCTTAAGCATCTTTAAATAATTAAACATCCTTAGCATTCCAGCAACTCTCAGGCTGTTTTCAAACAAAAGATACATTTCCAGGCTTTCACAGGAAGCTAATAGCTTGGTCTGGCTGGGCCTGTGCTACAGAAAGCCATAGGAATTCCTCTGACTTGACCCAGTGTTCATTGCATAAATGAAGTGGCACATATTCATGCCAGCTCCTCTCTGACTAGGGCTGTGCAGATACCCAAATTATCTTTTAAGTCAGTGTCTACATCTTCAGTCTATTCAGTTAATTTGGATTATTTGGACTCAATTTCAGCTTTTTACGGCAAAGTGCAACTTAATCCTCAGGAAGCAATGGATTTCAAGAGGACTGCTTAGTTGATGCTGAGCAAGGGCAACAGTCATGAAACTGCAGTTTCTGCTTGCAAAAAATTCTCCTGAGTACCACCTACAGTATAAATGCTGACCAAAAGAACCAGACACAAACCTACGGCAATTATAAGCAATAATAATTCTTCAACTATTATCTTAGTATGATGAAACACAATTTAAACAGCCTAAAGAGCTGCTCCCAAATGTGCATGTCTATACAGACATCTTAAACCACAAGTTACAGAAGTTATTGTATTTTAGAAATTGTTCTTAGTAAAGAAAATGGTACTACTATTGTCTTTAACAAGGCAGGACCAAGGCCTTGATAAGAAGATGGAAACAACATTCCTCTGAAAATTCATAAGTCATTTCAGATAACATATGCATAAATCCAAATGACAGGATGACTAGAAGTGATGTTATACTCATGGGGACTATGTTTAGAGAACTGGAAAGGGCAGCAAAGACATATATTTAAAATTAATTATGCATAAGAATTGCAAAGAGTAAATAGTACAAAGAAGATAGTGTCCTAAATCTATATATTGATAATAGAATGTAAGAACTTCCTCCAGCCCAGCCGGTTGTTAGGAGCTATGAGAAATAGTTAACAGCATTGCAGGCCTTTGGAGGATGTGAAGGGGCCTAATGGCACAGACAGAGGAAACATTGGATTTACTGTGAAAGTGAGAAAACCCTCAGATCTGTGGTAGGGGAAGATGGACCAGACTCTCATAAAGAATCCAATAGTATGTTTCCTCTGTTCATAGTAATACAAGCATTCAGGCAACCAAAGGATCAAAGTACAGACTATGAACTCTCATTTTTGTAGAGAAATATAACTTTCAAGCCTACACAAGCTTTCAATAGCTATATCAATGTAAATTATCGTGTCTGTTAATGAATATAGGATTGCTGCATCTCCCAGATAATCAGTGTGGCACCTTAAGCAAGCATTAAAACTATTTAGAAACATAGAATTGTTTAGGTTGAAAACCTTTAAGATCATCAAGTTCAACCATTAACACAGCACTGCCAAGTCCACCAGTGAACCATATTTCTGAGTGCCACATCTACGCATCTTTTAAATACCTTCATACTCCACCACTTCTCTGCACAGGTTGTCCTAGCACCTGACAACCCCTTCAGTGAAAAAGTTTTTCCTAAAATCCAACCTAAGCCTCCCCTGGCACAACTTTGAGGCCATTTCCTCTTGCCCTGTCACTCTCCTGGGAGGAGACACCAACTCCCACCTCTCTACAACCTCCTTTCAGGTAGTTGCGGAGTGTGATAAGGTTTCTCTCCCCTGATCTTCTTTTCTCCAGACTAGTTAATGCCAATAAATCGATCTCCCATTAAAATTACATGTCAGCTTTTAATACATTTATTTGTATTGGGTAAAAATGTGTCAATTCTTCCTTCTTGACATAAGAGGATCTGGTGCTTAGTGCACTGGCTTTGGATTTAGAACAGACTTCGATATTTTTATTTGCTACAGACTGTGCATGACCTTGGACTTAAATCTCTCTGTACCTCAGTAAAAGATAAAGCTGCTGTATTTTAAAGGTATGGTGAAGGGAACTAGACTTAAGACTGTGTGGATCTCAAATATGATCAAAGCAAACATTACACAGCTCACAGAGGCAGATAAGTAGTTGATACATATTGGATGACTCAGCAACAGTGCACAACCTGAGTCCTGGCCAAATCCAAGTAATTGACCAGAATCAATGAGAGCGAGAAATCTAGCCTCCAAGGGGGAATTGGAAATATAAATAAACATGGTATTTCAGCTAAAAAATAATAATTACATTAAGCCCAATTTTTAAAAGCTGATTTTAAAACTATTCTGATGACATAAATTTCTATTTAGTTTGCTGCTTAATTTTTTTTTTATTATTGTTTTGTTTTTTGGTAAGGCAACAAAAGAGATTATATGTCAGTGACCATTGTGGAAAAAATGGCAGATGTGGGTTTGTCACCAGAAATGGTTCTATTGATTTTATTGAGTCTTTCAAGATCAATGGGCTGTATTTGAAATTTAACACTCCTAAAAATTAGCATAGATGGTTTTGTCTATCTAAATTAAACTCTACAAAAATAAAAGCATAAAAATTAAATTGAACTTAATGTCTTTTGAGATAAAACATTAAATGTTCCTTTTTATTGAACTTACCTTGTATTCTACATTGAAAGTCATATTGCAACATCTTAATTCATCATCATCTCTCTGAATCAAACATCAGGCTGCCTCTTCTCACTGTTAAATAATGGAGACTGATCCAACTGGCAAAGTCATCCCTGGAGAGAAAACAAAAATCAACGACAAGAATACTATTTTCATTTGCGTTTTTAATCACTGACATAGCATAAAATTAGGCACTGGAGGTTTCATCTTTTTAGTGACGAAAGTCAATTTTAGTGTCCTCAGTTCAGCACAACATTTTATCTGACTCTGTACTGTTAAGTCAATTGTTACCCCCTGGCCAATATAGCATTCAAGTTACAATGCAATTTCAGCACATGCTTTAAATGCTTTGGTTCAACAGGGACACAGATTTCCAGTATCAGCCCTTCCTTATCAACACTGTGATTTTCCCTATTAATTCTATGTTTTGGAGATTATTAAAACATTACTCATGTAATGAGTAATCTGCAGCATTAGCTAGACACTCTAATAAACTTTCATTAAAATATTGCATCACATGTGGTAGTAAAATTACATTAATAATCTCTCATTTAACAGACAAAATAGTGAATGAAAATAAGCAGGTGTAATAGAATAGGATGGAATGAAAAAGAAAATAGCTGAAACAAATAGCTGCTAAATTCACAAGGTAGGAGTTTGAGAAACACAACACTTCAACCAGAAAAGTGTGACTGTCTTTCTTAATATTCAGCAGTGGAATGAGTGGGCATTTGGGGTAGAAATGTGACCTAAAGACATAAAGGCTTTGGCTTTACAAGTCTTATCAGAACAGGTAGCAACTGAAAAAGGAAGAGGAAGCCTTGAGATACATACACAGTGTTAAAGGGTTGACAAGAGGAGACTCTCATTCTACTTTTCTTCCTTACTTTGCCCTGGCCTGTAGTAACCTGAGACAATAATTTGTGAAACTGAGGATTTCCAGGGTGTTGTACAGAGGAGACAAAACATGATAAATGTCAAGTATATCAAATGGAAGTACTTACCTGGAATAGTTAAAAAAAAAAAAAAAGGTGTTTATTTCCTAACTTAGTTATATCTCCAAAAGTGTTGTTTGTGCTCTGGAATTGACCCGGGGAGCACTTTCTCTTAATTAAAAAGTGAGAAAAAAGTAGTAAGTGACCATTTACAACAAAGTCTGCAATTTTGGAGGAGAGAGTTTTTAGAACTTTTCAAAAATGTTTATATATGACATGAAATGGCTTTGGAAATTTGAGTCCAAAAGTGAAGAATGAACAAAGATGCTGTTTGTCAGGCAGATTGTTGTGCAAACTTTACTTTCTACAGTGAAGACTGATTCTTGGGTAAGAGTACACCTAATAGAGAGGGAAACCAGGAATGACAAGAGCCAGGGTGCAATGATTCATAACAGGTTTGTTAAAAACTGGTTCTTAATGTGTAATTAAGTGGTGGGAGTCCTTTCCATGATATACTGCAAAGAGAAAAAGTTTATATGGGTTCGAGAGAGACTTGACAACTTAATAGAAGGAAAGTCCATCAAGGTTCACTGAATGAATAGAAACCAACTCTGCTACATGAAAAGTCTTTGAGCAGCAAGTGACGAAAGCCCTGAGGAGGATCAGTTTGCCCTCTTCTCTTCCCCCAGGTGTCTACCTCCAGCTGCTGGCTCATTTTTTTATTAATCTCCCTTTCTGTCAACAGGCATATTTCTATCCTATCCACAAACAAGTTTCCGTTCTCTAAGCATTAGAAACAACAGAACAATTGGACTATTTGACTTCACTAGTTGTGTTCTAGTATATGCCCGCAAAATACACGAGAAGGTAACCTTGCAAGTAAGAATAAAGTCAATTTTTAGGAAATTATGCCTTAAATGACATTCAGCAATTTGAATGCTGTAACTTAATGGCTCAAAGGATGTCCAGGCCACAGTGTCAGCATGTGTGCGGGTACCACAACTTGCACAAGCCCTGTCCTGCCATGACTCAGCAGCAGCAAAGCCCTTTTTAGCAGCAGTACCACTGCTGTTTCATAATTAAAGGATCTGAAAAAGGTACAAAATAAATTCTTAATGCTGCTGCCTACTTTAATAACTCATTAAGGGCATAGATATTAGCCAGATCCAACTGTCACACATCATCAGGATTGAAAAAGCCATGATCTGTCTGGGTAAAATCTTAGAGAGCACAAAGAGAGTTGTAAGGGCTCTGGCAAAGGAAGAAAGCTTCAACTGGCTGTTTAATTTGTGTTTGCTAACCAGATAGTACTTCTATCTCATCTAAAGATACTTTCAGAAGAAGAAAAAAGAAAATCCACTACTGCAATCTTAAGTGACTCAGTAGTAACAAACATCACCTCTCTCCATGGGAAACAAAGTGTTATATTTGTCAAAGCTAATCTTACGAAAAGACTGTGAGCTGAAAACATGTTGTCATGGGCTTTCCTTAACAGCCAGGTGACTAAACAAAATGAGTGGGAATTCCTGCCTAGACAGCATCTGTTTCTTCATTTTGACCCATTCCCTCTCCGCTCCCTGATAATGAAGCCTTCAGCACCTGGGCTCCATGCAGCTGGGCACAGGAGCTTTCCCATCTGAGTCAACCCAGCAGAAGATTTCTAATTCTGGCTGTGTGCTGTGGAGGGACAAAGACATCCACAGTGAGACCGAATTTCAAGTGAAAAATGTTTGCATTAACTATCTCAGCCATGAATTCTTAAAACTCTGGGGAACAGGACACTTCCTCCTTTTTTTTTCCCATTCTGAAGAATAGCCTAATGCATCATATGACATTTGCTTTTCTCCCTTTATAATTACTACATGAGCAACATACACATAAGGCAATCCAGAATTAGAGTTCATCCTGAATATTATTTCAGGTACCTTGCTGAAAATGTTCCATGCAAAACACCAGCTTGGAGAAAGACAAGCAATTACAGTAGTTATATTATTTGTTTCTGATATAGGCCGTTTAGCAGTATAAAAAGCCTTCCATCACTGATGGAAGCTGTTTATATCTTCACCACTAATTGTAATGTTTCTGATTTTAACCATGCTCTACTGAAGAATTAAATGTGTGCTAAAAATTAAGTATATATATGTTCTATAAAACATAATCATCAGAACTGAGAAACAAAGAATCAAGTTCAAATTGTTGGCCTGCCTGACACACATTTGCTTGTTTTCCTTTTAGTCCTTCTGTCTCAACACAACTTCATCACTTTTTCCACAGTCTCTGTTTCTGCTTCTGGACAGATTGTTGTTTCCATCATTTCTTCTCTTAAATCTTTTTCCTCTCCCTCCTCTCCTCCTTTAAAGCAAGTAGGAAAGGAACACCTTTAGCCAACTCAGCCTGCTAGCCTTAAATCCTTCATAATTTCCCTGTGGTTTGTGGACTTTGTGAATAATGAGATCCCCTGCCACCAGAAACCGGATCAACTCTCTTTTTCATCACCTCCTGTCACCATGACAGTTAGGAGCACTCCTGAAGAAGACAGATAGCCAACCCAATGTGGAATCCTCTTTTTCCAGCTAAATCTTTTGTTTCCAACAACAAGAAATCTCAGAGCTTCTCAGAAAAGAGATCCATTTCATCATACCAGGAAAATCTTGTGTTTAAGACACCAGCATGTGAGGTGTGGTGGGACCTCTCTTCCCATGTAGGAGGAACAACAGATGCAGGCTGCAAAAGAGGCAAGTGCCTTCCTACCAGCTGTCTGTGACATGGCTCTGTTCACTGGTGCAGATTGTTAAAGGTCAGAATAAGGAAAAAAGCCCACTATTTTCTGGAAGTTAGGAACTGTGCTTGTCTTTTGGATTGCACATCCCAAACACGAGAGTTATGGCCTGGACCCAATTCAAACCCACCATGTAACAAAGTCAGAGCTTGCTCTCTCTCAGATTACTTGTGTCCAGTCTGAGCACTACCAAAAAGTAGACAGGGCAATGGAAAAAACAAAAAAGCATTGAAATCCAAAAGTCATAACTCACCGATGAAATAAGTGATTGCCAAGGCACTGAAAAACCTCTGAGGACCAGACCCTAACTGAACTTTTACAGAATCAGGGTAAGCCTCTGTTGAAATTGGAGTGTAATATCCTTCAATGACTTCTTTAGCTTACAAGTACTTGCAACCTAGAGGTCTCAATTTACAGCTGTTTGATAAATATGAAAATTAATAACAATTCCAGGTGCAAAATGCTAAGGAGCAATTGCTGCTAAAATCATAGCTCTGGTGATGAATCAGTGCATTTGGAAGCTATCCATGCTTTTATGGATCTGATTAGGGGCGACAACTTCTGCTGTAGTGCAAATGATTTATCAGTGGCAGCAACAAAAGGCTGTTTGAACTCTGAACTGTTCTGTGGATGAATTTCCAATTGAGCTATCTGGACACACCTACCAAAGCAAACCAAGAAAGAGAGAATAAGCAGTGTCTATGGCCTACTAGTAAGAAGATGAAGGAGGTGCGGCCCTAAACCACCAGACACAGAGTCATATTCATTTCCTAATTTTTGCCCCTTTCCTTGGCTCCAGGCATTCGCACAATGTTCCAGTTTTACAGGACTACAGCACATGGGTTTGCCAAAGGAAAAGAAATTCCAAGCTTGCCTTTTCATAAAGAAAATAGGGTTATCCTCTTAAAGTACATCTGCTGCTTCCTACTTTTATGTGCAGGCATATTAGGAAGAGGGTTTTGTACTTTTCCAAAGGTTTGAGACACAAGCATTTCCAAAAAAAAAGTTACGAAGAGAACAGAATCAGTTTCCAAATAGAAATATTGCAGGACAAAGCACCGATGCCTGTGTGTTTGTTGCACTTGGGTAGCTTCTGATATTTTGAGCAAGAGGAACTCCTGCTGGAACAACTCTGCTCAGCGAGGGGAGCAAAGCGTAGATCCCCCCTGCCCACCCAGGGTGCCAGAGCAAAGCAGATCTGATGTTTTCCCGCTGATACACAAGTTTTTTCAAAAGCTCATTAAAAATGCTACAAATGCACAAGATCCAGTAGACTCTGGGCAAACCCACAGCATTAACCAGTGTCACCTCATTGTACTAAGAAAACAGTTTCTCTGTGGTAAAATGATTTTTTTACTGTTTAGAATGCTCCACTGTTCTAGAGGGGGAATCTTGAGGT